TCTCTCTCTCTCTCTCTCTCTCTCTCTCTCTCTTCGTCATGGTCTTCTTTGCAGGTGCGCGCGGCGGCTTCTTCAACCTCTGGATCCGCTATGGCCGACTTCCTCTCCGATGGTGACTTCCGCTATGGCGCGTCGCTCTCCCTGCGGCACACGATGGACGCGCGTGGAATAGCGGGTACCAGCTCCGATACCAGTGCAACCAGACTCGCTCTCATTCACACGTCTCATGCATGTAAACAGGTTGCGCAGCAAACTGGCGACAAGCGCCTATTAGAACTCAGAGATATGGAAACCAAAAACACAGTTCAGATGCAAGTTCACTTCAGATGGCTATGGCGTCACAGCGCCTCAACTCTCTGCTCACACACACAGGATCATCCTGGATATCCCACACGCACCACACTGTATACACACGCCCACACATACACGCTACACCCTCCGATCAGCTAGGGCGGCTATGGCCGCTACTACCCTATCGCTATGGCTAAGCTCCTTCTCTCGCCCACTTGGTCTTCGGGCTCACTGCAGACCACCTCGCACAAGTTGTTGTGGCAGCGCTTCTGCATGGCTCACGCAGGAATGAATGAATAGCTGGGCGCTGCCTCTTGATTTATACTTTTGTATCTCGGTTGTCTGCCCCTTTCCCATGCCCGTGGTGCACACAATCCCGTGCGGTACTTGCTTGACTGGACTGGGACTGGGACAACTGACTCAGCACGGGTGGACTCCACCACTTGCCCACTTGCCTCAGCCTAAACGTGAGCAGCTTCGAAAGGCCACTACTAGGACCTTCCGAAAGGTCGTGGACTTGGTCTTTCAATATTGTAGCAACTACGACCTTGACCCTTCAGGACTGTAGCAGCTACGACCTTGACCTTTCAGAGGAGCTACAACTACGACTTCTAGACCTTGCTAAGACTCCTACCCGACAGGTCTACAGATAGAACCCCTACTACCTACGGACCCTACGACAGTCTACCAACTGTTACAAATACACAGGTCACGGGTTCAACTCTCGGGGTCGACACAGATATTGTACACAGGTAAGGTGAGGGCTAGGGATCGAGCCCTGGGCTCTGCATCGGCTACTGCGAACAGGTGAATACCGTTTCACTTCTCTTCGATTGCTTCCTCCTCTTCTTCTTCTTCTTCTTCCTTCTTCTACTTCTTCTTCAAGTTCTTCTTCTTCTTCTTCTTCAAGTTCTTCTTCTTCTTCTTCAAGTTCTTCTTCTTCTTCATCTTTTTCTTCTTCTTCTTCTTCTTCAAGTTCTTCTTCTTCTTCTTCAAGTTCTTGTTCTTGTTGTTGTTGTTGTTGTTGTTGTTGTTGTTGTTGTTGTTGTTGTTGTTATTGTTGTTGTTGTTCGTCTTCGTCCTCCATGTTTAGGGTGGACTCCGCTTAAGCCGACTTCACGTACGTACTGGACAGTTAGACTACAATGAATTGTAACAAGTGTTGCTTTTCTGCAATTGCAGCGTCGACTGTGTGGACTTGTTATGTGCCCTATTAAACTTCAATCCACAACGAATTCACACGTTCCCATACACGCATGCAATTGTTGAGTAGACTCAAAGGAGGCGAATCCACACAAAACCGGAGAGAAGATATGCACAGCGGAAGCTCAAAATACACAGAGAGTTGAAAAACGAATTTCAATTCTGCAATCCCTTGTCCTCCTCCAATCAATCCAGAGTACTTGTTCCAAGAATCACAACCGCGTTTACAACAACCCCGAACAACCAGAAACAAGTTCAATGAAGTATGCAGGAGTCTTCTTTGTTGCATACCGTATAGGTGCAGACCAGAACAAGAACCGACCTTTCAATACAAAGTATAAGATAGCACAGCGGAAGACTTAGATACCAATGATCCGAACAATCAATATTGCAATGCAGCCCCAAACATACATCATCATCATCATTCCATGGTGTGAAGGGGTCTGGCGCTTCACACAGGAAGACTGCGCCAGCCCCARCSATAYACAGACGAAGGAGATGGGGGTTAGACGAAGAAGAGGGGAAGATGGGAATGTCGTCAACACCAAGTGTTCAGCACAGGCCCAAATAGTCCCTCGTCGAAATGTCTGAATCCCAAAGGTCGAGTTTGGATCCAATGTCGTCCAGTCTCAAGTCACAAATCTCTCTCTCTCTGTAGTAGTCTGCTGATACTGAGAAGTCAGGTGGTGAGAGGGGAAGAAGAGATGGTGGACATAGAGGAGGAAGAAGAAGAACTCTCTCTCTCTCTCTCTGTGTCCAGTACTAACCTGTGAAGTTGGCGCCTTGATGCAGGTACCTCGAAGATGGAGCTGGAGCTATGGCGCCACAGGTAAGTACCGCTGGCCTCCGCCAGCCATCTCCCTCCACTGCAACTACTACCACCTACTAGCGCCCARCGCTGAAGACTACAGCTATGGCTATGGGCGCCCARCGYCGAAGRCTACAGCTAGCGCTACTACTACCGCCTAGCGCTGAAGACTACTGCAGCGCTCCTCCTGAGTGCTGCGGCCGAAATCTGAAGACTACCGTCCTACTCTCCAACTGCCTACCTCCCTTTTCTGCAGGGCGGGCCAGTCCTTTATAGTGCTGGCCC